GGATGCATCCAGAGGTGACTTGTGCGAACTTGAGGCAGCCAGGTATCCCAGAATGCATTTCGCAGTGAGCATTAATGGAGGAGAAAACCCGCATAATTTTCAAAATATTACTGTTATTGTGTCATGAAATGCAGTTCTAAGAGGTTTTCAGGCAAGAATGTAGTTGTTTAAAGCTCAAATATGCGGATTATTTATAAGGATAGTGCCTATTTGAAAATGTGCTAGGCTGATTTCGGAGACGTGTGCTCCACGCGATCACCTGGCGCTCAGCGCTCATGTATCCCGATGAGAGAAGCTTAACCTCGGCTAGTCCTTCTGATATTTGCTGCTGGCTCTGACGTCTCTGTGGTGGTTAAACATGAAGTAAAATTCGTTTTGGGTAAATCTAAAAGGCAATCTTTGGTCTCATGAATCTATTAGCTATTTCTTCATGGTCTTCATGGTCATATCGTTTCGGCTGAGCACAAAGTTATGTTTCATAAATTATTTATTTTTAAATAAATTATACATTTAACAAAAAAGGCAGAGTTGTGCTTGTGTCATATTTCATTTTGTTATGGGCTATACAGTGAAGATAATCAGAGTATATGTGCACATATTACCTAAACCACATATTAATGTTTTTTTATTTTTAAAATGAAAACGAAATGAGGGTTGTGTTTTATATTTTGAAGAAAACGACAAGGCAGTGGTGTTTGATATCATTTCGTTTTATTGTAATGCGTGTACGCGTTCCATGAACCACATTTTTGTGTTTGATATAATATTTCGTTTCACTGTAATGTATGTACGTTCCCTGAACTACATTTTTGTGGCTATTAATATGTTTAAAGGAAACGAAAAGAGGCAGCGGTGTTTGATATCATATTTCGTCGTATTGTAAATGCATACAGTGAGGGTAACCGGAGAAGCCAAGGCGAGCTGAGTGACGTTATCAAGTACTCTGCTGTTCCATTTGCAGAATTACCAGACTTGTCCTCCAATCCTGGCAGAGAGTGAATTTGCATTCTTAGCATAATTTCACAAAGCTAAAGTCAGACCACTCTCTGTTCGCTTTAAATCTTGTAATTGTACAATCTAATTTAAATAAATATTCAAATGGCTACAAATATTTCTTTCTTTCTTGTTTGTTTGTTTGTTTGTTTAGGGCAGTTCAGCCTGTAATCGAGAAAACAAACAGCTTGTTCATGCACTCTTTCATTCTTTCTTGTTTCTTGTTTAAAGAAAAAAAAAACATTTCAGCAGGCCAGTATCAGAATCAGCCCATTTGCAATCGGAATCGGCCATGAAAAATCATGACTGGTGCATCCATAGTTTTTGTAGACAGCCTACTGGTTAGTTTCAGAGTTTCTAAGTCCGCGTATTATACGCGACTTTGGGCTTCTTTTTTTGTAAAGTTGCTGAAAAAATCCCGGGTCGCGGTTTTGTGGGCTTATTTAAAAAAATATGGCTGCTTGTTAGGGAAATCTGACAAGCAACTTTGATTCTTTACTTATGTTAGCCGTATTCTCCAATGCATTGATTGACACTCTATTTGCTCACAGTTAATAGCCAACCAGTGCAATAATATAAGTGCTGCAGAGTAATTTGCCAAATGTTCCGCCCCCTCCTCCCCCTCATTGGAGAAAATCACGTTTTCACGTTGCTCCCCCCCAAAAATAAAATCCTAGAATCGCCCCTGCCTCAAACAGTCATACCTTTGACTGAATAGTAACATGTTTCATCAGGAAGTGCGTAGAAGATGTGGTGCCGACAAAAACAATCCGCATCTACCCCAACCAAAAACCGTGGATTAATAGCGATGTTCGAGCAGCCTTGTCAGTGCGGACATCTGCTTTTAAATCTGGACACGCTGACGATCGCAAACAAGCCAGTTACGATCTCAGGAAATCCATCAAAGCAATCCAAAAGACAATATAAAAACAAAGTTGAAGAACAATTCAACACCAACAATGCAAGAAGCATGTGGCAGGGCATCAATAACATAACAGACTTTAAAGGGAACAAACCAGCTACTGTGAACATTGCCGCCTCTCTACCGGATGAGCTTAATAACTTTTATGCTCGTTTCGAGGCTCACAACACCGCCCACACAGAGAGTGCTCCCGCGGCTGCTGCAGAAGAGGTGAGTGCACTCTCCGTCTCTGTCGCGGATGTAACCCGATCATTCCGACGGGTGAATATCCGCAAGGCTGCGGGTCCTGATGGCATCCCAGGCCGTGTGCTCCGAGCATGCGCATTCCAACTAGCCGGTGTTTTCACAGACATTTTCAACTTCTCCCTCTCTCTGTCTGTGGTTCCCTCGTGCTTCAAAAAATCCACCATTGTGCCCATACCAAAGAAAAATAAAATCACATGCTTGAATGACTGGAGGCCCGTTGCTCTTACACCCATCTTCAGCAAGTGTTTTGAGAGACTCGTCAGAGACTACATCTGCTCATTGCTGCCTGCCTCACTGGATCCGCTACAATTTGCATATCGTAGCAACCGTTCTACAGACGATGCTATTGCTTTCACCCTACACACTGCTCTCTCCCACCTGGAAAATAAGAACACCTATGTGAGAATGCTGTTTGTGGACTACAGCTCAGCATTTAACACCATAGTGCCTGCCACACTCGTTGAGAAGCTCCAGAATCTGGGACTAAACAGATCTCTGTGCAGCTGGATCCTGGACTTCCTGACGGGCAGAAGTCAGGTGGTCAGAATGGGCAACAATACTTCATCCCCGCTGACCCTCAACACTGGTGCTCCTCAGGGCTGCGTCCTCAGCCCACTCCTGTACTCCCTGTACACACATGACTGTGCAGCCACACACAGCTCCAACGTAATCGTCAAATTCGCTGACGACACAACGGTGATAGGCCTGATCACCGACAACGATGAGACGGCCTACAGAGAGGAGGTGAGCACCCTGACTAAATGGCGTCAGGAGAATCATCTCTCACTCAACATCAACAAGACCAAGGAGCTGGTGGTGGATTTCAGGAGACAGAGCAGTGAGTACACTGGTCCACTTAAACTGGTATACACAGTAGGTACAGTATACACGCACATAAGCACACAGTGTTTGTGTGTGTGTGCGTGTGTATTTTGAACGACAGTGTATATATACGGGTGCTGTCCGACTGGACCGATTCTGAAAATAGTGGTGAGCCATTTGGCCTAAAAATGCCAGGGCTGATTTTTATGTATTTTTTTGTCCCAGTCCAGCCCTGGCTACTTGTGATGTCACTTGCAATCAACACAAATCATGCATGTTGCCAATGGAGACTGATACTGATACTGAATTTGGTTTTTATCATCTTAGTCCTTTATGCCACAATTTTTAGCGGTGTGTGAGGAAAACAGTTAATGTGAAACTTTTGTGTGTTCTGTTCATATTCCGCCATCTGCTTACCTTAGTGCATTTTATTAAGCTGTATATTGAATTTGGTCTTTTAATATCACTGTCTTCATTTATTAAGCCATATTAAGTGTTAATGTTTTTCTACGGGTAGAAAATTCTTAACGAGGGGCTTTGGGTTTCATTCAAATTCTGCTGTGAAGTGGATGAGTGAAGTTTATATGGACAGACCCTCAACCCCTCGATTTTGACTGAACGAGCAAGTCTACTTCATATGTAGACTTCAGACTCTTCCATACACCACAATGCAACATGATTGTGACATCACTGCAGATTTACCCCCACTCCAAACAACTCTATGATATATTATTATTTTTAGATATTTAAAACAGCCTAAGCATACTTATATGCATATAGAATGCTGAATCAAACAAATTCATAAGGGAAAAAATTTAAATAATCAGTCGACCAGAACGCAGAGTGCACATGTAAGTCTGCAGCCAGACACTATTGGGACTGTAACTGTATTGGCAATAAAAGTAACCACACTTAGCAAATAATGAAAAATCAAACGTACAGGGAAGTGAAGAGGGTTGCTTTTGTCATGTAAATATCTTTATATATAAAATATTTTTTATTTATAAAAAAGTCTTTATTCTGATTAGTGGAAATAATCAGATTATTGGTGCGCATGTAAATGTAGTCACTGATAACGGTATCAACTGACTGAACAAAACCTGACAAAATCTGACAAGCCGATGTTAAAATAGACCTGTGCATTAAGTGTTGTATTGTAAGTGCAGAGTAACAAACCGAAAACAGCAACAAGACTGTGTTGACTCAATACAATTAGCAGCTTCTACATTTAAAGATAAAAAAAAAAAAAACCTTAAATCGGTCATTTTGTTTTTAAATTAAATCTGTTAAAGGTATTTAATACATTATTATGTAAGTATTATAGCACTATAATTAACTTTAATGTGTAGTTAACTAGTTAAAAATGTTTAAAAACAACTGGCTGTTGGGGTCTGGGCTTGTTTATTTTTTATTTTTTTTAAATGACATGAGACTTTGTGACTTTCTGACCTTCCTATACTTCATACTTATGTACAATAGAAATACTAAAATTCGTTATAATAGTCATTTTATAATAAGCCTTAAAGCAAGATGTGAAAAGACCTAGGGAGTGGAAATGGCAGCTCAGCTAATGAGTTGTCATCTGCTGCCATCTACTGGTTATAATGGTCATTTCATGCCATTTTTATTTTTACAAGTGTTTGTTTTCCACGAGGAGACAGAAATTGTCCACTACAGAATATCATCAATACTTTTTCATGTTTTCCCAGAAGAAAAGACAAGTCAAATTTAAAAGCATATATTAAAGATAAACTGATAATGTTTACCATTACATTGGCATATTAATCTAGTGCAGATAGACTAAAAGTGCCAAAACTCAAATTCTGTTTTCACTGGGTCTTCAAAGCAAATTTATTTTGTAATTATTGTCATCACTACTACAAAAGTTTCTGGGCATTTAAAGTTCTTCTTCTTCTTGATTTTCAAGTATCTAAATATCTTTCTCTCTTGATTTTCACATACTGTACGTGAATGATATTTTAAAATCTGTAAGAAGTTTTAAAATACTTTAAAATACCTTCATCTTGACATGTTGGTGTTTTTCCCCATGTTCCATTGTGACAGGAAACCGTTCTTTCTCCACTGATAAAGTATGAGCTTCGACATATGTATGTTAAGCTAGATCCATCAGGATAAAATTCTTCAGGTTTAGATGTTATGACTGCATTTTCCACATTTGGAGGAATGCCACAACGCACATCCTCTGAAAAAAAAAATATGTATTGAAATTCATGAACTCCAATAAGACTGATTTTAATATTGTTGAGAGATTATATTGTCCAGCCCACTGTATGCACAGCTGCTCCTATTACAAACATGTAATAAGAGTTTGAGAGACTCACCTTTACACACTGGTGTCTCCCATCTACCATTGGTGCATTTTATGATGCGTTGAGTTGATATGAACCCTGGATCACATTCCACTTCAGCAGTTTCTCGATCACGACGGGTTTGCTTTAGTTTTCCATGGTGAACACTGGGAAGAGCACCACATTCTTCCTCCCCTGTAAAGACCAACGACAGGAAGCACTTTTCAGTGCACTATCATTCCTCAAACACCTGAGACTGACAATAATAAAACTCACGGATGCAGCGAGGCTCGTCAGACCAAGATCCTTTGCTGCATGTCACTGAATCCCACCAGTTTCCAGTGAATGGTTTATAACCCGTGTTGCAGGAGTAAAAGATTTCTTCCTTGTTGGAGGATTGGCTGTGTATGAACCCATTTTCCACAGATAGAGCAAGGCAAGACTTTGCTGCGAGAAAAACGGTTTCAAAATTTTGACTTAATATGTTTTTGAGTGATTATTGTGCAGATACATGATGAATTAACTGAATAATAAGTCAAGTTGTATCACAACATTCAACGGAATTAAAGACAAAATTCAATAAACTGTAACATACCGCATTGCCGAAGTAAGTCTGTCCACTTGCCCTGGGAGTCACAGATGATTTCAAAAGACTCCTTTGGTTCAAATCCAGGATGACATTTAAATACTATTCTTGAATTGATTCCGTATTTTTGTCTCTGACCTCGAACAATATCTGCATTTGGGATGTTAGGTGCTGCACACATTTCTGTAAAAAATACATCATACTAATTACAATTCATCAATGCACAGATACATAATAATTTAATTGGATACTGCAAAAATTATTGTTTCACGACATTCAATGGAATGAGTCAATTCCAATGGAAATGTCAATAAACTGTACCGTACCACCAAATCAGCATAATCATATAATTGATATTATGGAAATAGCAAAGATTTTAATACTCCACAGCAGAACATACCAGCACACAGTGGTTTTGGTGTCCATCCATCTCGTGTACATGTGGCCTCTTCTGCCATTTTACGATATCCAGACTCACAAGGGTACGATCTTTTTTCGCCCAATTTCTTATCTCCACTGAAGTAATAGGATGGGTAATACACATGCTGGTCAAGTGGAACTTCACATGTAACCTCTGACAAAAGATTCACATGCTTTTAGCAACATGCAATAAATTCATCACCAAATCCAGAAATGTTTCTCTATAATCTTACCTGCACAAACAGGCTCATAGTCCCACTCTCCATTATCTTTGCATGTAAATGATCTGCTGCTTACTTTTGTACCAAATAACCAGTGTTTTTCAGAGCAGGTGATCTCCACACTTTCTCCAGCTCTGAAAATAGTTGTTCCCTCTGGCTTGATCTTTTTTACTCCAAATGTGGTTGACTTCAGTTCACAGGTTACTTCTGTACAAGACATAATTAAGCAGAACTAAAGGTAAGAAATGAAGCATCAAAAATCTGTGAAACTAGATTTAAATGCTTTGTCTTTTGCAGGAGACAAATAATTCTGTGTATATATATACTGTATATATATATATATATATATATACACACACACACACACATAGTATATATGCTAAAATTAAAAGAAAAGAAAAAAAAAACGTCTCGACAAGACAAATAAAACATCCTCAGTATTTTGAAATAATGATTTGAATTTATAATCAATGTAGTAAGTAGTTATGAAAAAAAGCAAGTAGTAAGTAAAAACAAACAAACAAACAGTAAAATAAAAAAAAAACAACATATGGGACTGCATTCATCAAGCTCCACCTTGAAGTTAAAATAAGTGTCAAACTAATATCAAACTATTTTTTAAATGTATAGTCACATTTAGCCATATTCAACTGATTTTTTGTTTTTGAATTTTCAAATTTTAACGTTAAGTTAATGGCTATCTATTTTTAGAATGTTTCAGTTTATGTGTGACCCTACCATGTTTTTTGCATTATGAAAGTATTTGAGTATTATTTCCCATATGAATTGTTTATTATGTAACACAGTGGTGGATTACCATCACATCCTGGGTTCAGAGTCCAGCCAAATTTAGCACATTTGGGGATTCCCTCTCTGGGTTTGAATCCTTCATTACATTTGTATTTTAATGTTGCATCTTTCTGGTATTCTGTCCGTGGCTCAACAACATATCCATTTGGTATGACAGGTGCTGCGCATGCTATAACTGTATGAAAAGTAAGAGAAACAAGAATAATTAATGTATCACATCTGTGATATTTGGGTGAAGATACATATAAATAAAAAAATATAGAAAAATGGAAATGAACCTTTGCACTTTGGAACAGCATCACTCCATTTTCCCGTCTCTTCACAGTGAATGTCACTACTTCCGTCTATCATTTTGTCAGAAGATACACAATCAAATTGAATAACATCACCATAACGTCCTTCCTCTGTGTTACCCGATGCAGTCACCTCCCCATCTGTGCGAATGGCTGGACATTTCACCACTGAATATGAAAATAAATAAAAAAGTAAAGAAACCAACAAACCAATCCCTCAATTAAAAAAAAAAAAAATTAAAAAAATGTAAAAAAATCAATAAATCTTTTTAGTTATAATTCTCTTCTAGCTTATGAGTCACTATTCTATGATGGAGAGATATTAAACTGGAAAAAAAAAAAAAAAGGAAAAACAGTGACTTTCAAGAAATCGTACCCTCACAGACAGGGACGGCGTTGTCCCATCCTTGAGCTCTGCAGGTACGCTGATTGATTCTGCTTGTCATTTCATACCTGTGAACACAATGTTTTTACAAGTACAAGAGTGTCAAACTCAAAGAGGATAGTATAAATTTCATGCAATAAAAAAGAGAATAAAAAAGCATAAAGCACATTTACCCTTTTTTGCATGTATACACCACTGTTACTCCAAAAACAAACTCCGTCCCCTCTTTAAGTTTAAAATCACCATTTGGTGTGTCTCCTCGATTACTACATTTTCTCTCTGCAGAAATCAAACAAGTTTTACTTTACATGGTAACATTGATTTAATAACTAGTGGCTATCGTACTGACAATTCTCTTACTTGCACATGGTCGCTCAATGGCGTTTTTCCACTCTCCTTTTTCACAGTTTAATCTATACAAGCCAGTATAACCTGTTATGCAGTTCACTTTCACTGTTTCACCATCAGCGTATGAAGCTTTCTCAACTGGTTCTGTGTTTTCATATTTAATGTCCTCTCGAAGACATTCTGAGAAGCACAAACAAATGTTACACAAAGACATAACTGTTAAATGCTGAAGTACATGCACAACTAGTCAACACGCTCTAAAGCTACATAAATGTACAGTTAAATGTTTTAGGAACTGCATATAATATAATATTTATTTTGAAGTCAGTAAAATCTAAATGAAAAAGACATTAAAATAAATAGCAACAACAACAAAATCACTTGCCTTGACATCGGGCACAATTTAAGAAAAACAACCAAAAGCCGAAGCCGAGGAGTTTTACAGGAACTCTCATTCTGAGCTCAGTTCACAAATACTTTTTTTTTTGGTCAGTCTCTGAAACTCTTGCCTGCTTGGGGATCAACAAGTTAATCATTTACCCATGTCAAAAGGACATCTTTCTTACACCAGACCTCTCTGAGCACAAGCAATATTAAAAAAAATAATAATAATAATTTTCTGATGCAGCAATTCATATTTTTTATTTGCTCACACCAAAAAGTTACCTTAGAGAAGTCAAACTTCTTGAGTCAAATGTCTGTAATGTATAAACTGGAAGCAAAGGGCAGATTCCAAAATAACTGCCATATTTACTGCTTAATCCTGTTGCTTTTAACTGGTTCATGAATTTTATATATTGATTCAAGAAGAACATTATGTGATGAATGAATCTGTTTCATTAGAAATGAGATGAAAGAAGATTCACAACACTTTCAAATCTCCAAACATTGCAATAATACAAGCATTGCAAAATATACGTAGCCATTGCATTGCAAAATGTGTTCATTAGAATTGACCAATCTGTTTAACTGATAAACAAAAGACAGAAGACAGAAGAAGAGTTTGACACCTATTTGTCTTTGCTTAAATTGTTGTTGTCTCCTAGATGACCTGCTGATCCTCCTTATCTCACAATGAAAACTGTTGTTGTTTTTAACCTTAAAAGTCAGCTGTCATTTACTGGATCTTACAGTGTGGACTTGGTAAACAATGACATGTTAAACTCAAAGGTCTTTAACTTCGTTTGCAAATGGTTGGCATGTGCTAACCGAGTCTTGGCACAAGCAATGAATATGTTTGAAATGGGGCCTCTTTTTAAAAATACTATATATGTGCAGTTTATGTTGTTAAACATAAATAAATAAATATTAAAAAAGGCTGCCGCACACCTTTACATAAATGTCAAAACTAAACATAAATGTGATACTAAATATCATATGAGCTGTTTTATTTGATACATGTCTAAATAATAAAATATAGTGACTAGATTTGATTAGATTATTGTACAGCAATTAGTAATACATAAACATCAAAATTAAATAGACAAAATTCATAAGATTAAATA